TCAACACATATGTCTGTGATTGGCTACATCACTCAATGCTGCAAACTGTTGTAAAAAAAACCTGTGGCCTGTAAATCGTTGCTTTTCTGCAACAGATGAATAAAAATGTATGCGTTTTTTTATGTTTTATTCATAGATATTTATAGTTTGCGGGAGTCCCGCGAATCGTTTTATCCGCTCGCAACCCGCACACATGAGTGGAGTGCATTATCGCCCTCACTCGGCCATAAAATCTAGTCCCGCGCCAAACTGACAAGTTTGGCAGTTGACGCCTCAAGATCACGGGTCCGGCCCGAGGATAGTGGCGGGATATATCCATATATCGGGCCGAAAATAGTGACGGGAAATATCGTTCGGGCTCGGGCAGAGAATCTAAGCTCTAAGTTGCTTACCAAGTTCAGTCTTGTACAGCCAAGGGGAGTATTTCCCCTCTGACAGCCAAGCTGGGTCAAAACCTGTCATCCGGTGATGACTGGACTTTTGACGCTCGGCAGGATGCGCAGCAATTTGACTTGGAGCAGGAGAGCTACTCCGTCTGCTACTCGAAGTAGAGCGAGTGTTGTCATCTTCAGTTCCCTGCGAGTGTTTAAAAAACGCAAATATTTTTGTCTGATTTTCATTTTGTTGACCCGACATATTTCCCGCCGCGCGCTCTCTGTCCACAAGTGCTCATCTGTATGTGACGTAAGTGTTTGTTTGTTTATGTGTGACAGTGTGAGTGTATGCGTGTGCGCACTCATTGGGATAATTGTAAACGCGCAAACACAGACAGACAAAAAAGACATGCCATCGTGGAAATAAGTTAAATAACTTAAGGGCTATTTACTTTGTTTAATAAAATAACAAATTGTAATCTGGGCTGGCTCTATAAAGAAAATCAAATCAAAATTTGAAGAGTTTGGTTCCAAAACGCTATAAATCCATTTTGATGAATTTGAGTAAAACTGTTTTTTCTTTAGCAAGAAAATGGGAAGATGAAAACCACTATTTTCTGTTTCAAAATTTCACATAGCATTTGAAGGTTATAATATCAATAAAAATTTAAATCCAGGTTTTGGTTTTCAAAGATTTATTATAAAAACAGATTGTTTTTTCCCCAAAATGTAATAAATCCATTAATTCATTTTTTATTTTTTCAAAATGCAATTAATCAAAATAAAATTTTATACACGTTGAATTTCTTGTGCATGTTATAAATCCATTGCTTTAAAGGTTCTCTGAGCGATGTGGGGCCAAAACATTTTTTGTCACATACATCAAACGTCTCCTCACTATCGGCTAGCTAGCTGTCCCCTAAACACACTGTAAAAAAACGCGGTCTCTGTAGACACCACAGGCTCCACAAACGGCAACAAAAACAATCATATCTCACCCGGACCACGAAACCTAACCCACATAGCAAACAGATCCGGAACGGATCTGCCGCGGAGGTAAGAACCAGGTCCGGAACGGAGTCCACTTGCACAGCGCAACGGATCCGGAACAGATCCGGATTGCGGATCCAGACTAGATCCGCGGCAGACCCTATCCGGATCCGATCTGGACCCGTTCATTTCGGTCTGAAAACCTTTCAGATCACTCATTCAAAACTAGTAATCTGGCCAAAACTACAAAAATATTTCAAATCTATTGGTGGGCCAACATTAGATAGACTGCCCACTAAACAACATGATGTCCAAAAGATGTCTTTTCAACGTCTTTGTCACAAAAGTCGGATGCTGAAAAGACGTCCACTGAGGAGCCAGAATTAAAGTTTTTATGACGTGTTTTTTTGACGTGTTCTGCACGTCCGATGTAGACTTTCTTTGAACCTTCGTACAAGTTTAAAAACTAGGTCAAATGTGGCCATTGAGTTTAAAACTCATGTTTATATCAATGTAATTTCCTTACATTGTTTAGATGAGGTTTAGATGTTGATATGTTTCATTTTAAGAAACCATTGTGGTGATGAGTGTTTGCTTTAGTTGGGCTCTTGGTCCCAATTCTTCTTACTTTAACTTCTCTTTGGTTGTTGTAACTGTGTGTTTGTATAACACTATTGTTGTTGCATAGAAAGCCAAGAAAAAGTAAAAATGGCTGTCATCGGCTCCTTGTTGATGACAAAAACACAAAGCGAGCTTTTAATGATGTGTAGACTTTTGTCCTTATATCTGCGGTTTATAACCACCTATTTTGTGGAACTGCGTTATTTGGACCAGCACCATTACAGTTGTTGCTTATTTGAAGGTCAATAAAAATCATGTGTTCTCAATGTTTTGAGTAAATATGTCACATAGTCACACACAGACATCACGATTTTGCATATGATTCTCAATAACGGTGACAACCAAAACAAAAAAAGCTTGGGAATCAAGGATTTTTTGTACTTTGAAAACTACCCATCATGCATTGCAGCATGAAGCTTTTTTTATTGTCACCGTTCTTGTGATACATACGCAAAATCTTGATGTCTGTGTGTGACTATAAGGCAAATTTCCTAATAACATTGTTTAACAAGCTTTTTTTATTCATCTTCAAATATGTGCTAATTTTTATGGTAGACAAATAACACAGTTCCACAAGATAGGTGGTTATAAATGGCAGAAATAAAGACTAAAGTCTAAACACAACATCAAATGCTCACTTTGTGACATGATAATCAACAAGCTGATGTCAGCATCTCACTTTTTTTTGGCTTTCTGTGCAACAACAATAGTGTTATACAAACACACAGTTACTACAACCAAAATAAAGTTAAAGTAAGATGAATTGGGACCAAGAGCCCAACTAAAGCAAACACTCATCACCACAATGGTTTCTTAAAATGAAACATATCAACATCTAAACCTCATCTAAACAATGTAAGGAAATGACATTGATATAAACATGAGTTTTAAACTCAATGGCCAACATTTGACCTAGTTTTTAAACGTGTACGAAGGTTTGATGAACGTCTACATCGGACGTGCAGAACACGTCAAAAAAACACGTCATAAAAACTTTAATTCTGGCTCCTCAGTGGACGTCTTTTCAGCATACGACTTTTGTGACACAGACGTTGAAAAGACATCTTTTGGACATCATGTTGTTTAGTGCGCAGTCTATCTAATGTTGGCCCACCAATAGATTTGAAATATTTTTGTAGTTTTGGCCAGATTACTAGTTTTGAATGAGTGATCTGAAAGGTTTTCAGACCGAAATGAACGGGTCCAGATCGGATCCGGATAGGGTCTGCCGCGGATCTAGTCTGGATCCGCAATCCGGATCTGTTCCGGATCCGTTGCGCTGTGCAAGTGGACTCCGTTCCGGACCTGGTTCTTACCTCCGCGGCAGATCCGTTCCGGATCTGTTTGCTATGTGGGCAGTCACAGTCTCTATGTTTCCCGGAATCCATTTCGGTCCATAGCTAAAGTTGCGAACCAGCACTGGATATCCCACACAAAAACTACGTTCATGGCCCTTCTTGTCATGATATGCTTTTTGCTTTTGTTGTTGGTTTTTAATCTTCCTAGTCAAATCAGGATGCAAAAAGTCCAGAGTAGGGCTGGGCGATATATCGAACGATATTGAATGCGCATCTAATCAGTAAAGCCGGTTCCTTGATTAGCAGTAAATCTCCTTCACCTGCTTTCAGATGGAGCGGCATTCACTACAAAGAGCCGTAGATCACTGACAAGCTGAGCCAAATCGCGTTATTATCGAGGACATATCGATATCGATATTTAATGCGATATGGCTCAGCTGGTCAGTGAACTACGGCTCTTCGTCACGACGAAATCTCCCGTGTTAAACTAACACACCTGGAGTGTATATGAGTCCACACTCAAGAGTGTTAAAGTTAATGAGATAATTAAGTGATTAAATGAGTGATGATTGAGCATTATTGAAGACACCTAAAGCAGAATCACAAGGAAAAAATCTAAAATTTTAAGCCACCGTTATGGAGATGAGTGTTTACTTTAGTTGGGCTCTTCACCCTTATAATATTAACTTTATATTTTAATTTGCTGTTGTATCTGAGTTATATCTATCAGATGAACAAAAATTAACAATAATAACATGATTGTGGTCATATAATGACATTTGTCATTTGAAATTTATCTCATTATATATATAATTTATAATGAAATTTATAATAAAATTTATTTCTAAATTTATTTATAAAATGTATAACATATAATTTATTCTGTGGCTTAGTGTATGACTTAGATTCTGAATAAATGGCCAGAATGCTAAAAATAATAGACAGTTTTCTCAAAAGTTGCTTAAAAGAAAAAAACCTTTCCTTTAGGCACACAGACCTCAATATTCAGTCAATGCTTCTCAACAACGGTGACGAGTAGAATATTCAAGTAGGAAAAGTAAATTACATCGACAATTCAGATCATAATTTATTCAAACCGCAATGCATGATGGGAGCCATTTATGAGTTGTGATGGGTGGCAACAATGATTAATATCGCCACCACAGTTGAGATAGACAGGCTGATTATTGATCTCTGTGTTTCTGAATAGGCATGAAAGTGATTTGATCAGAATAATATTTATTAATTATTTTAGGTTATAAGAAATATACAGATATGCCGTACAATCACTAAAATGTTGCTAACAAGCTAAGCCAAATCATCTGAAAAGTTTCATTTTACAGACCACAGCATGACTATGTCAAAACATAGCAACACTATAAGATCAAATATGTCTTATTTGACTGTTATTAATCAATAACAGCAGACACAAAATTTAAAGTGAAAGTATAAGTGTCAAGAGCCCAACTAAAGCAGACACTGATCTCCATAACGGTGACTTACAATTTGTGATTTTGTCCTTTAGCGATTCTGCTTGTGATCATCAGGTGTCTTCAATAATGCTCAATCATCACTAAATTAATCACTTAATTATCTCATTAACTTTAACACTCATATCGTCCATTTGAAAGCATGTGAAGGTGATTTACTGCTAATCAAGGAACCGGCTTTACTGATTAGATGCGCATAACAATATCGTTCGATATATCGCCCAGCCCTAGTCCAGAGAGCACCGCAATTTTCGTCCTTGTAACATTTCAGCGGGAGAGAGACCGGTGGTAGTCTGGGGAGTAATCCTATAGCTGAACAACACTCGGGCCAATTTAGTTGCAATTGATCCTTCAACACATTTTTTTAACATGCCTTTAATAATTTGTACGGCCCGCTCCACTAACCCATTACTCGAAGCATGATAAGGTGCAGAGGTAACATGCTGTACTCCATTTTTGTTCAGGAACTCTTTAACTTCAGCACTAACAAAACAAGTAGCATTGTCTGATACAATAAGTTCTGGTAGTCCCTGATTACTGAAACTTTTACGCAAACATTCAATGGTGGCAGCAGATGTGGCTGAGTTCACGGGATACACATCCATCCATTTCGAATGTGCATCAATTAAGACCAAGAACATTTTTCCCATGAATGGTCCAGCATAATCCACATGCAATCTTTGCCATGGTTTCTCTGGCCAATTCCACGGATGCAGTGGGGCTACAGCTGGAACGTTCCTGTGCTCTTGGCACAGATGACAAGTTTTAACCAACCTCTCTACATCTTGATCTAACTTGGACCACCACACATAACTCCGGGCCATAGCTTTCATCCTGCACACTCCTGGATGGCACTGATGCAGTTGTTTCAAGACTTCTGATCTACCCACACTGGGAATGATGACTCTGGGCCCCCAGAGCACACAACCATCCTGTACACTTAATTCATCTTTTCTTGATGTAAAAGGATCAAACTCTGTTCCAATTAACTCATGCCCACCATGTTGCACCATTTCTCTCACTCGGGATAATATCGGATCTTTCTGCGTCCACCCTCTCACTTGTTCTGCAGTTATCAAGGTTATGTCTGCATTCTCCAGCATCAGAACTCTTTCCTCCTGTTCCATGTCTGGTTCTGTTGACAATGGTAACCGACTTAAAGCATCTGCATTTCCATGATCTTTACCTGGCTTGTAGATGATGTTGTACTCATAGGCTCTCAGTGTCACAGCCCATCGCTGGATCCTAGGAGATGACATTTGGGGAACAGCTTTTAATTCATTAAATAAGGACAACAAGGGCTTATGGTCCGTAACGATGGTAAACTTCCGACCATACAAATACTTGTGGAAGCGCTGCAAACCGAACATAATGGCCAACCCTTCCTTGTCCAACTGTGAATAATTCCGCTCAGCCTGATTCAAAGTCCTTGACATAAATCCAATGGGTCTCTCACTACCATCTGGCATCTTATGTGAAAGAACTGCACCTAGGCCATAAGGAGAAGCATCACAGGATAAAATCACATCCTTCTGGGGGTCATAATGAACCAGAACTTGAACTGAGTTGATCATTTCCTTGGACTGAGCAAAAGCAGCTTCTTGTTCCCCCTCCCAGTTCCATTTTTCATCTTTTCGCAGCAGTTTGTGCACAGGGGCTAAAATGGTAGACAAGTTGGGTAAGAACTTATTATAGTAATTTAACAGTCCCAAATAGGCCTTTAACTCTGTCACATTCTTTGGTGCGGGAGCATTCTGAAGGGCAGTTACCTTTTCTGGTACTGGATGGAGGCCAGTCTCATCTACTTTATGGCCCAAAAATGTTACCTCTTTCTCCATGAAGGAACATTTGCTCCGTTTCAATCGCAGTCCTGCTTCCTGCAATCTTCTCAATACCCTTGCGAGTGTTTGGAGATGCTCCTCATCATTACGACCAGTCACCAGGATGTCGTCCAGGAAAACCGCCACATACGGAATACCTTGCAGTACACCCTCAATGGTCCTCTGGAAGATGGCAGGACTAGAAGAAACTCCAAAGGGTAAAACACGGTAAGTAAATAGGCCCTTGTGGGTATTCACTGTGACATATTTCTTGGACTCTGCATCTAAGGCAATCTGGTGGTAAGCATGGCTCATATCCAGGTTGGTAAACTTTTGCCCACCTGACAATGTTGCAAACAAATCGTCTATTCGAGGAATGGGATATTGTTCCAACTTTGAAACTCTATTCACTGTTAGCTTATAGTCACCACATAGTCGCACAGTGTTATCCGATTTTAAAACCGGCACTACAGGGGCAGCCCATTCAGAGTGTTTAACCGGTTCTATGATTTTTTCTTTCAACAGGTGTTCTATTTCAGCTTCTACCTTTGTCTTCATAGCATAAGGAACGGGTCTGGCTTTGAAAAATCTGGGGACCGCTTCCTTGTCCACATAAATTTTGGCCGGTGGACCTCTCAATTCACCCAATTCCTCTTTAAACAACTCTGAATGTTGGCTAAGCACTTCAGTCAAGGTTATATTTTCCATCCCTTGAATCTTATGTATGGCTTCCCATTCCATGCCAAATTCTTTAATCCATCCTCTACCCAATAGATTGGGTCCTGTTCCAGGTACTACCACTACTGGTAACTTCTTCAAGACTCCTTTGTGTCTAACTTCCACCTGCGCAGAACCCAACACTGCTAAGGTTTGACCAGTATAGGTTTTCAACTTCAAAGAACAGGTCTTTAATTCTGGAATTTTATGCTTTGTCCATAATTTGGAAAAATTGGACCCATTCATCACAGTCACACCACAACCGGTATCCACTTCGAAAGGTATGTTTGACTCGTTAACCGCCAATGTAATAGTCAGTGGAGCAACCTTCGGAATCTCGGTTTCTTTGAAACTGTGAACTGTAAAAATACCCTCTTCATCAGATGCACTTTTTTCTTCTCTGCCCACATAATACGATCTCTGTCCTCCTCTTGTCACAGCTCTCTTACGTCTTTCTCCCCCTTGAAAGTTTGTGTCTCTGCTGGAACTTTTTGATTTGCAGACTTTCATTATGTGCCCTTGTTTCCCACATTGGTGACATTTCTCAGAAACAAATCTACACTCATTGGCCAAATGTTGCAAACTTCCACATCTATAACATGCTCTGCCTTGACTTTCTTCTTGCTTCACTGATGTTTTATGCACTCTCATGGACATGGATGTTTCTGAGCGTTTAACTTGCAAATCCCTTACATCCTTATTGGCCGTTTCCATTGCTTGAGCTACTTTCAAAGCCTTTTCAAAAGTTAGATCCGCTTCTGCCAACAGTCTACGTCGAATCCGATCATCATTTATGCCACATACCAGTCTATCCCGAAGCATTTCTGTCAACTTTTCTCCATAGTTACAATCATGAGCCAATTTCCTCAATACTGCTACATATTCAAGTACAGTTTCCCCCTCTTCTCTTGACCTTGAATTGAATTTAAACCGTTGCACAATTTCACTAGGTTTTGGGTTGAAGTGCTCTTTAAGCAATTCTACTAATTCACCAAATGTCTTTGTTCCTGGTTTAACTGGGCTCAGCAAATTCCTCAGTAGACTGTATGTTTGACTTCCTACAGTGCTCAACAATATAGCCCTTTGTTTGTCTGCTTCTGTAATTTCATTTGCCTCGAAGAAATGCTGCAAGATCTCACAATATTCCTCCCAAGACTGAGATTGACTATCAAAAGGTGAGACTGTTCCTACCATGTTGGCCATCTTCTTTTCCCAAGCTCCAACTTGTATGGAATAAACTTATTCACCTTCCAACACTTTTTTTTTTCTTCAAGGCGTTTCTTTCCTTGCTTTCATCCTCGTCGCCAAAATGTAATAACTTGCAGGAGACAAATCCGTTCAATGCAGTTCATTTACTCAAAGCACATCAGGCCAGCAGTACACTTGAGCACAGTCCAGGGGTGCTTCTCATTTCTTATTTGTGCATCCTCGTTTCCTTTCCTTGCTTCCTTTCCTTGCGTCTCAGCTCCACCCCCTGTAGGACGCGAGGGAAGGAAGCGAGGAAAGGAAAGGAGGACAGAGGAATCGAATAAAAGCTTTTTTATATCCATTGGAATACTTGATCACTCGAGCGTCACTCCACAGTGTCATCAGCAGCGCTAAAAGGATCTGCCCTTATGTTGTTGAAGTTTGGTTATTTAATAAATTCATAATAAATAATAATAAAGATAGGCTATACTGTTGAAATATCTGAGATGTGTGGTTTATATAAACTGCAAAGGTAAAGTATAAATTAAAATGATTGTGACCGATGTGAAGGGGGAGGAGAATTGACACGTGCGTCACGTTTAGTCAATATAACAGTTCCGCGTAGGATGCACCTGTGTATCCTCGCTTATGACTCCTCAGGAAGCCTCCTCACTCCTCGTTCCTCGACTCCTCACGGTGCAATTAGAGAATTGAGATGTCCTTCAAGATGGCTGAGCTCGATCGGTTTCCGGGTCATAGGAGGGAGGACGGAGGAGCGAGGAGACGAGGAGGGATATTGAGAAGCACCCCAGGTGGAACACATGTCTCCTAACAGTTTCTTCTTTGCTACTCTTAAGCACAAAGCCAAAATACATTAGATTGCCCCCTACAGGTTAATCTACAAAAACTCACTCTACAACATTCCTTTCCCCCTAAGTTTACAATATAATCAACATCTATAACATCATGTGCCCACAATACAGTTGTATTGAGCCCACAATACAACTTCAGCACTAACAAAACAAGTAGCATTGTCTGATACAATAAGTTCTGGTAGTCCCTGATTACTGAAACTTTTACGCAAACATTCAATGGTGGCAGCAGATGTGGCTGAGTTCACGGGATACACATCCATCCATTTCGAATGTGCATCAATTAAGACCAAGAACATTTTTCCCATGAATGGTCCAGCATAATCCACATGCAATCTTTGCCATGGTTTCTCTGGCCAATTCCACGGATGCAGTGGGGCTACAGCTGGAACGTTCCTGTGCTCTTGGCACAAATGACAAGTTTTAACCAACCTCTCTACATCTTGATCTAACTTGGACCACCACACATAACTCCGGGCCATAGCTTTCATCCTGCACACTCCTGGATGGCACTGATGCAGTTGTTTCAAGACTTCTGATCTACCCACACTGGGAATGATGACTCTGGCCCCCCAGAGCACACAACCATCCTGTACACTTAATTCATCTTTTCTTGATGTAAAAGGATCAAACTCTGTTCCAATTAACTCATGCCCACCATGTTGGTGAACAAAGTGAAATGAACTGAGCCGAACTATTCCTTTGGTAATTCACCGCAAAGACTTCCAACCGCTGTACAAAGACTCACGCCGCGCACGTGACTCCCCACAGAACAAAGGAGCCATGCGCAAGCGACCAACCATGCATGTGCCGGGACGGGCCATGCAAGAACGCTGTGGCCGCGCTCCACGTGACCCGCGCACACAGGAAAGCACCTCCATCCGAACGGGCCGAGCAACGAGCCCGCGACTCACACAGACCAAATATGCTTTGCATGTGTACCTTCTTTTAGAGCTTCTAAGAAGCATTAAGAAAGTGTTTTCGTGTTGTTCAGAAAGGTTAACTGTCTTGGTGAATGTAAACCTGTCTCTTCCTCTCTCCATGCTCTCTCTCTCTATAAATATTACTATAAATAAATTATAAATATTATTATTAAATAATACTCTCTCTCTCTCCAACTCAATCCACGTGTTCCATTGTCTAAACGCCCAGCGTCGTCTTAGTTTGTGTTTTAATGTTTGTAAATACATGTATCATTGTAACGTAGTAAATGCTTTGTTGTTGCTTTATTAAATACAATCATGCTCATTTTTGACTGATTTACTTTCTGCTCATAATACCATTCAATAAAATGTCGATCAAAAGCTACAAGCTTTACAGAACTAAACATGCCTAAAAGAGTAATTGTTTATAGAGAAGGAAAACTAATTCTTGTGGCCACAGAATTTGTTTTCACAACTCTATAAATGAATTGAGCTAATTAATTTTACTTGTCTTGTAAAACGTGGTCCATGTAATTGATTACAATTAATTTGTGGTTAAAGGGTTAGTTCACCCAAAAATGAAAATTAAGTCATTAATTACTCACCCCCATGCTGTACCAACCCCCTAAGACCTTCGTTCATCTTCGGAACACAAATGAAGATATTTTTGATTAAATTTGAGAGCTGTCTTACTACCACATTGGCTCCTAAGGGACTGCCTCCACGACGCATGTGCGAGATTTGCGATCTGCTCACACCAGCTTACTCAGATCGCAATTCTCGCGCATGCGTCGTGGAAATCTAAGGAAGTCTCGTTCTGGCCTACAAGGAAGAAAAGAAATAGTCGAATAAAGTCGTTATTTTTGTTTGTTTTTTCGCACAAAAAGTATTCGCGTCGCTTGATAAACATATAGTTGAGCCACGGTAGTCACTTGGGATATTTAAACATTTTCTTCATTGACTTTCTGGGCCGTCAAGAGGCAGTCCCTTAGGAGCCAATGTGGTAGTTATACAGCGCTCAAATTTAATCAAAAATATCTTCATTTGTGTTCCGAAGACGAACGAAGGTCTTACGGGGTTGGTACAGCATGGGGGTGAGTAATTAATGACTTAATTTTCATTTTTGGGTGAACTAACCCTTTAATTGCAGGGAAACACATGTATGCATACAGGTAAAATTGATAAAGCCTCCCTAAAATGGGAGATTTATTAACATTTAAGACTGGTCTGATCCAAATCTATATGAATAATTATTAATGATCAATTATTAATTATGATATGCAAATTCCCCCTTGATCAGACCCGAACTAAGTCTAAGTCTAAGTCTAAGTTAAAAAGCAGCCAGCTTGATCCAACCAGCAGCAGAAAGCAACCAAGACAGGAGAAAGAAAAGATTACACAGGGCACTTCAAAAAGGCAACGGGGGGAAAAATTTTTTTTTTTTTTTTAGAAACATCTTGTCTCAGCTCTAAATAGGGCAGAGGCAGCATCTGAAGACCCAGATGAACTTTTCCTCCGTAGCCTGTTGCCACAAATCAAAAGTCTCACACCTAGAAGGAGGGAAAGAGTGAAATTTGATATTCATCGAATTATCTTTGAGGCACAGCGCAGCCAGGAACAGGAAGAGAGCGGGGTACAGCTGACAAGGCCATGAGGGGTGTTCGTAAGCTTATTTACCCTCGTGGTCCTGTCAGCTGTGCCCTGCATCCAAGGTTAATATTGTTAAGTGTTTTTGTTATTATGAGAACAAGGTACAGCTGACAAGGTTGAACTATAATTACAGTTTACCCTCATGTAGTCCAGGGGTGTATTCCAGAAAGCAAGGTTAACTTACCATCAGATAAACCTTGAACTCTTAGTTGATTAACCCCAAACTAGCTTACTCTGGCTATGTCGGTTCCAAAACACCTGTGAGGTGTTCGTTTAATCAACCTCCTATCGGTAACCCAGGGTTAATGCGCGCACACGGCGAGTACATAAAAACATTTTCAATGGATCGCAGAAATCAGGAGTCACCATGGAAACCAAGGGACAAAAAAACGAGCTACATACTTCGGTGAAACTGAGTTGGAGGTTTTAATGCTTGCTTATGAAGACTTTAAGCCCGTTATAACTAAAAAACAATATTGCTGCATCAGCAAAAGAAAGAGAGTGAGTAAATGCGTGAGTTTTATAAATTATAAAAAAAATTATAAATGGGGTGACAAGTGGCTTAGTAAAATGTAGGTGAACCATATTAATGCTTATGATTTATTGATGTGTTCACTGTTTTGACAGTATTTTAATAAAGAAAATCATCAACACTGTCACCATTTTAAAAAGCCATTTTAAATGCATTTTCCAGTCATTGATTCACTTGTGCAGTGTGCATGCTGCTTTGACTGCAAATGCTGTATACTGTAATCTTACAATACTCTTTGTTACGACCCCCGAGTTAGTCCAGGGGTTCGGGAGTCCAACATTTTAAAGATGACATTATAGAGAAACCTACATAAACCATGAGTTGTACAAAAAACACTCTACAACCAGATTTACTGTGCAAAAAGCCAAAACCTTTATTTAACAAATAAGGTCAGTGGCAAAAGTGAAAAGAATTTAATCTATACGAATATAGATTAACATAAATGTAAAAATGGACATGTTATACAGAATTTCTGTAAGGTGGATAAAGTTAATAAGAAGAAAAGATAGACGTGGACGGCGCCAAAGAAAAGAAAAGAACAAAACCAAATGAAGTCTAGCTGTTAAATAACCTCTAATCCTAACTAAGAAAATAAAGAAGAA